ACATACTGAAGGTAAACAAAGAGAAATTGATTTCTCTATGAAGTCTTGCAGGGATAAGCTAGCAACTTCTCCATTTGACAGCTTGTTTTAAAATGGTTCGTCCTTGAAATCAAAGCATATTTTAATGCTCTTTAAATTTAAAATCTACGCAGTTTTAAATAAATCTAATTAGTTCACGGGCACATGTATTCTGTAATGTGGCTCTCAGGAAGTGTTTTAAACCTGCTGCATAAAACATCTTGTTTACACAGAAAACAGAAAGGGAAAAAAAAATGAAAGGATGCATTGTAACTTGCTAGGAGCAGCGTGAGTACAAGACAAAAGAAGAAACAGCAACACATACCATGTTTTTTTAAAACACACTTCACAATGCACTCAGTGTTTCTAGACAACAGTGGGAGCTGTTGCTGAAGCTGGAGGTAAACGCCAGTGTTGCTAATTAAAACACAGGCGACTGAGACACCAGTTGCAAATAACTTGTTTGCAGCCAAGGAGGGGGTTGACAATCAGTTTTATGTGCGAGTTGTTTTTATACATTAAAAGTGAAGAATTTTAGAATATTCACGTTGTGTTCTTATAGGAAATGCAAACACTCCTCTTTGATTTACTTCAGATAATCCAGAGGATGTAAAATAGAAGCTCCTACCTACTGGGGAGGTTTGCTGAGCCACAAATAATAGAGAAAGAAGAATGCTGAGCAGTAGTCTACTAGCAAAAAAAAAGATTGTGCTTCAGTTCGAAATACCACTTTGTGTTATTTTACTGGGGACTTTTATTCATATAATTAGGATTTAATACCCCAGATAATCCTGTCAGAGACCTAACATCAGCAGAGACGGTTTTGAGAATTTCCTTATTGTTACTTTTTTCCCCGTGCGTAGGAAGCACCAATTTTATAAGGATTATTTTTTTTTCCTCCACATGGAGAGAGTTGTAGCTGGTTGCTAGCTATGCACATTTTCCCTGTCTCATTTGGAGAGGTATGAACAACCCTGTGGATTTTTTGTATTGCTTTTAGAGGTAGTTTTGAGAGTCACAGTAGCTTTCCTCTTTGCCCCCGTAACTTACCTGCTATTCCCGTAGCTCTGCCACGTACAGAACAAATAACCTCAGTGCCTGGCTCTTGTTCTTTCTCCTTAAAAACAAACCAGAAACCAGAAAGGGATGAGATTGGTTTCTTCCATCCCTTCAGCTTGAGCTTCCTACTTGAGGAGGTTGCAATTTGTTTCTGGTTTTCTTCTTCTTACTCATTTTTTTTTTTTTTTTGGGGAGGAGGTAGAAAATCACAGAAGGGCTGGGGAGGACAGACCTAACAGCTGCTCTTGCAGCAGAGTCGTGCAGCCTGTAACGGGCTGCGTCTCTCACACCACATCTTTCAGCTGCTGTACTGTGCATCAGAGAGAAGGCACTAACCTCAGAAACAAATTCAGAGGTCTTTACACTGAAAAGTGTCCTCAAGTGTTTGCAGGGACCCAGAGCTCAGTCAAGCACTGCAAACAGAGATGCCTTCATCTCTCCTACCATCTTCTGAAGTTGACCTTTGAAGTATCAGGTCTTGTCTGGCACATAGTTAAAGCTGGATGATCCAGCTCTTCCTCCTGTAAAACGTTAGCATGTGCCTATCTCCAAAACCTTGTGATGTCCCCGTAACGCCAGCGTCTCAGATGTAATAGTGCTCTATTGACAGCTAGCAGAGTGTTGTTTACTGCTGCCAGCCGTGACCTGATCAGCAGCTGCACAGAAAAACTGGAAAATATGTGGATGCCTCAGCCAAGGAAGATTGAAAAGTCAGGCTCAGGAAAGCCCTGTTGCAGTTGACAAGAGACTGTTCAGAAAAGTCTGCTGCCAGGAGGTACAGTGTCAGCGTCTAGGTTTTTGAAGAGGATCTCATAAAGGTGTAGCTCTTTCTTTCCTTCGGATGTGGAAAGAAACACCAATACACCCTACGGAACAGCGGTTCCTCTGCGTGACTGTGAACTACCAAAGGGAAAGAATCTGGACCAATTTTTGAAGAGGAACAAAAAATATTTGGTGTACCCAGCTAGATTAGTGTATTTTCAGCAATATTTGGGTCGCTGCTGTTTACTGATTTTCTTCTGAGAACATAATATAACACGGCACTGCCTGCAACTTTGTGCTTGCCAGGTATTTTCTCCGTCTTGGTCTGATTCCATGTAAAATGCTGCTGCTGCCGTACTTCATGGTGATCTTACTCATTAGGAAGCAATTTCAGTCTCATTACCTACGTTACAATGGGTTTTGCCATTGGCTCTCTCCAGCTTACAAAGCAAAGAAATGGATTTCAAATCCAAATGCCACTAAAAAATAGAAACCCAAATGGTTGCTGTGGATGGAGATACGGCTCCCAGGCTAGACATTGTGATGGGAATCTGATCACAAACAGCCCCTTTTCAGCTCTAGCCTGGAGTATAAAGTTTAGACTGTAGCCTGGGATGTGACATTCATGTATTTTTCAAGACCAAAGGGACAACTATTGTACTAAAATAAATTAAAAATGCATGTCCTGAAGTCTGCATGCTTATTGCCCTCAGTACTCACACACGTTCGAGTGGCACGTCGCTGCGTTTCTGCACTGAGTCAGGACTGTGGAGAGCTGGTTTCTCTGGCAGGAAAAACACATCATAGATCCAAATGTATCTTAGGAAATTCTGACTTGAACCAGGTGTAAATTAAGGGGGAATAAGAGGAGCCGGGGCTTGCCCGGGTGCCCAGGACCCCGTGCAGGCGCCTTGTGCCGCTCTCCCAGGAGGATACCCCACAGCCTCTCTGGGCAACCCTGAGTTCCTGGTAAAGAATTCAGCTTCCAGCCACAAAAACATTGTCATTTATAAGTCTGTAATTATTTTCTAATATATTAATGGATCCTGACTCTTTTTAGGCTTGTAGTTTTAAAACATCTAAACCGAGTAGACTTTTCAGATACATTTCAGCATCTCTGCAGTTTTGCTTCCTGCGTTTGCAGTGAGACGCAGACTGCTTGGCACTACCCTCTATTGTGAGACGACACCAGCAGAAGAAAGAAATTGAATCCACAACACGGTTTCCGAGGCTTATAATTAAAATCTTTCCAAGGTCAGCGGAGGGCCCTAATGATTTGTCTGCTGGACTTTGAGAAGAAGCAAATGTTTTGACAAACTGTTATTTATAGCAAGACCGATGTCCTAGATTTATGTTCCTACTCCAGTTTCTGTGGTGTAGCAGCTCTGTTACAGATCATGCCAAGCGAGATGATGTTACGAAAGCTGTTTTATTTGATGCTGCAGTTTACTATCACTACAAAACTATTACTGTTTTGAATGGCTTTTTTTTTTTTTTAATGAAGAGGCTAAAGGTTTAAATAATTGCACCAAAATGTATCAATGGATGAAAATGAACCGGATTTGAGCAGAGATGCTGCATCCTTCGTAGCACTGACATAAAACTGGAAAAGCAGATAAATATTTGGATGCCCGAGCCCACCCCCAAGTTTTAAGCAGAAGAAACAACCTTCAGGTTATGGGTTGGGAACCTTTAGTGATGACATCTGCTCCAGAACTTGAAAGGAAATTTGGCTGGCCAGAGACCTGTGAGCAAGGGCAAAGGTGGTGATAGTCCTGAGCCTCTTGAGATGGATACCAAGAGGCAGGATATTATCACTAGGAGAGCAGGAGGGAGTTAGCTGGCTGTGAAACACAGGCCATAAAACTGATGTCTCTCATCAAAAATACGATTTCTAGTATCCAGTAGAACCTTAAATTTTCATTTTTAGCCTTCTTCTCTGAAGGTCTTCCTTGAGGATCAGGTTGGAGACACAAGAGGCAGGATGACTCCTGTATAAAGTTACCCTGCTGGCAGCCAGGTCTTTATCCAGTGCCTGGATCTGTTCTGCTGTGTCACGCCGGTTTGCATCCAGCCATGCAGTTTGTCTGCAAGCACCTGCTGATGACATTAATTGATGACGTTCTGGGACATGTTTGTCATTTCCAAGGAGTTTGGGGGTTATTAGGGGTGTCGGGGGGTGGATGGGGTGATGGACAGGTACATTTGCACTCGGTGGTTGGGGTTGGTTTGGCCTGTGCTGGTCTGTGCAAGTCATGCTTTTGATGATGGCTTTGTTGAAATGCAGGAGGTATTTTTGGAGACTGGCAAGGATAAAAGTTTCTGCAAAAAACTTTTTTTCTGCAAAAATAAGTCCTACATAGGTTATCACAGTTATATATTTTTCATACACATCCTGAAATAGGATGATGATTGGCAATGAGGGGCCCGTGCTTGCTCAGAGTTCTCTTTTTGGACAACAAACAGTAAGTTTGTGCGTGTTAGTCACATTTCCCCTGAAGAGTTCCCAGCCGATTCCTAGAAGTGTGTTGTTACTTGGAGAAGATTGTTGTTACCTGGACGGAGTGGTTGTCTCGAGTGCCATTTCTGGAACAGATGAGGCAATGTCTGAGGGCCGTCAGAGCGTGCTCTGAGCAGGTGATTGCTGTGGTCATGGATGCAGCCGTGTTGGTCTCTGGATTTTCCTGGTCTTGCAGGTTGTTTGTTATTACTCTATGATATCAACAGAGTGAAAATAGCAGCTCAGTTCAGATTCCTGTATTAATATGAATTCTCTCTTCAGGTTTGGGCACATCTTGCAGGCTCTGTTTCTGATTTTTTGTTATCTTGTTGGTTTTTTACCTCTTAAGCAGAGATACATATCTGAAAGGCTCATTGTACTGAAGACAAAATGCTTAGTCTGTGTTCATAAAAGAACATTTGAGTGCTCAAAAGAAAAAAAAATTCAGATGAAAAGCACTGAGTCATTGAACAATGTTTTATTATAGTTTTTTTATGTCTTAATGTTCAGCACTAGAATTATAACAGCTTTGCCATATGAATGTCTTTAAAACATGTTGTGTATCTAATTGGTAGATTGAATACGAGAAGAAAAAAGAAAGAAGATGGGAAACGGGCCTCGGGCTGATAAACACAAGTGCTGGACATGCTGTTTTCTGCTTTCTGCCTTGGAAACATCAGTACTACAACATTAAAGACCTGGTGGACATAACCAAACAGCCAGTGGTACGTACCCGTAGTCTTTTAATAGAAGCATTTTCTGTAGTTGCTCTGGTGTTTGCTTTCCATACCACATCTCTAAATGTGTTTACAACAAATGGAAATCTCCAGGTTTTAAGTTGACTCGTGTAGAACTGTATAGGATGCCAAGGAAGCACTGCAATGAGTACACTTTTCCTTGGCAGAGATGGTTTAAGTAGCCTCAGTTGTCCCTCCGCTTGTTTAGGTTCTCTTTAAGACAAGAAACCAAACTCCCTAATTCCGTGATGTCACCTGTGAACATTATTTGTGTTAGGAATGTATGTTAGGATGATTGGGCATCCCTAAAAGCACTCCGTTTCCTTTCCAAACAAAAGAAATCTTAGAGTAGAGTTCTCCTTTATGAACATGAACCTCCCAGTTCTTTCCTTTCTCCCCCCTCCTCAAGCTTTCCTTGTAGACTAGGCAGGAGTGAAGGGAGACAGCAGCAGACGAAGTGGGTGATTGTTGCTTGCCAACCAAACGCAGCTGTAGTTCTTGAGAAGATGGGATGACAGGTCAGGAAATTGTATAGCTGATGCTTTTATCTCCTTCTGTCTGCTGGCTTTATCGCAAACAGGCACGCAGAAGAGATAAAGTTCTAGCAGAGTGAAATTAGAAGTGTTTGCAGGAGCTGTGTGCTTTTTCTGCATGCACAGGTTATTTGGTAGGACTACCAAAGACTTTTTCCTGTGATTTGCATTACCTTAGCCTCACCCACCATTGTGCTCCCAACCCCCTGCCCGTGCTCCTGGAGTCACGTTTGAAACTGGCCTCGTTTTATGGGTCACTGCTTCTGTTGCACAGCGTTTGTAGCAGCTGCTATTGCTTGTTTTCTCCTAAGATGTTGGTATCTTTGTACTTTTTGACGTGTTGCACAGCTGGCTTTGATGTCTGCCCACAACCCAGCTGCAGTTTGCAGAAAACTCAAGGGAAATTGATTATGTTTGAGTCTAAACGGAGCAACATTTCCAAAGTTGTTAGAGCAAAGGGCAGAAGAAGGAGCAGTGACAGCTGGATTATGGAAAAATTCATTGCTCTGAAAAAGAGGAGGGAAATGGAGATGCTTACCAGTTTTGCTCATTTTATGGTGAGGAGAAGTATATCCATACCAGGGGATTTGGGTAGTATAAGGTGCACAATCTGTGTGGTAAGAAGCTTGCACAGAGATGTTACCCATTCAAATACATGCAGCTTCACAGTGCTGTAGTATCCTGGAAGAAACTAGCTGGATACTTTATTCATTTTTTCTATTTCATTCATTTATCTAATGAGTCAACTCCTTATCTGCGTGGCAGAGGCGGCGGGTTAGATCATGGAAGCTGAGAAGGAGGAAGGAATGGGAGGAAGATACGAAGGCAAGTGGCAAGAAAAATGTTAGGATTTTTCTTTCTAAGTAAGAGATAGGTGTGACAGTCACTATCTGGATAATTTGGAATGCAAGTAGATGCAGATTTTATCCCACCGAACATGACTTCAGCTAGAAATAGTCTTCCGCAACTCCCACTTAAGCCATGGGAGAACAAGAAGTTTCTTCTCCCTGTGAGGCACTTACTTCTGGAACATACCTGGCACTGCGTGAACTCAAAGCAACCTGGAAGAACTGTGCTTCTGACACAGGTTTCCTCACTGAGCACCAAATACTGGGCAAGATGATCCAGCTTTTGTCTTAGTCTTCTCCCCAAGGATTGAACGTAAAGGGCATTTTGTGTTTGGAAAATACCTCAGATGAATTTTATTACATGATAAATGATTTTATGATAAATTTCCAATCGTGACTGTGGATCTCTGCTGTCAGTAGATGCTCCTGAATGCCCACAGCATGGTGCACCAGCTGCATAGGCAAGGTCTAGAAGACAGCCCCCCCTGTTCTTATTTACCTGAGGGTTCCTGACATTGTTCCAGCTGTTAGACTTTTTCCCCTGAGTGATCTGTGCAGTCTCAGTTTCATCCTGTGTGCAAGCATTAGGGATCTGCTGTTAATTCCTAGGTGGATCTTTGCAGTAGGTGTCTGTGTCCTTCCAGCATCCTCATGCCTGGATTCTCTAAACGAAGCAAATCTTCCTGATGTCTTTCTTCATTCAGTGGGTAGCCAATACACTAATAAAATCAAAAGCAAGCTGTCACAATTCCCTAACTGGACTCTAAAAACTTCTGTAGGGACTTGCTGGTGGCATTCATTTCCATTTAAAAATGCTGGCCATCATCTCCCACTGCGCTGCCAGCTTCCACCCCGTCTGCAGGTTTCCCTGATGCTGAGAAACTTCAGCCTCTGGCCTAAAGTTTTTTTTTTTTTTACTTTTCTGAAAATAAAGTATCCATTGCTGGCTCCCACTGTGACCCCATTGCTCGCAGGGCAGCTGTGCTTCCTAAAAAAACATGCCAACAGGTTGAATAGGCACGCCGTCCCCGTGCCGCAGAGGTTGGCTGTTAATTAATCTCCACTGGGTGTTCACTGCTTTATTTTCTGTCAGAGCGTCTCAGATTTTCTGTAATTTCTCCTCTGGTTTCTAAACGTTGAGGTTATTTTCAGAAGTGAGAAAAAAACGTTGCTGCTGCTGTCTCGGCAGCTCTGGTTAAAATGAAGTCCTAGGTGCCTACATCGCTGGTTAATAGTATTAAAAATACTCTTCTCCGAGGGAATCGATGTCTTTTTTAGGGAAATAACAAATAAATAAGGGTATTTTTCATACCCAACGGTAAGTGCAAACAGCAAGTGGAATCCCTGCTACAGAATATATTCCATGTTGCATGGGAAGTTGCTGCCATCTTTATTTTGAGACTATGATCTCCCAAAGCGAGCTGTTCCTGAATGCAAACTGCTGTTACGTTAGGGAAGCCCGGCTTTGTTTGTTTCTCTTTTTAATGAAAAGTAACAATTTGCATTAGTGGGCAAATCTGTTGTCATCTACCCAGATGAAAATACAGAGCGCTCCCTGGAAACGTTGTGGTAATTCCAGATTTGGGCATAATAGCTGAGAACAAAACCTGCTTTTTATGTCAGCAATCAAATATTTATAAGAAACGGAGCCAGTGGTCTAATAGGAACTGTATTTTTTCAAAATACCGTATACTGGTTGCAGTTTTTTCTTACCTTTCAGCTTTAAGTAATGGTTATGCTCAGTCTGTTTGGGGTTTTCTTTTGCTGAAAGTTTCAGGAGGGTTTTCAGAGCTTGGAAGTTAATGCCTCTTTCAAAAATGCTTTTATCTCATAATTCTACAACAGCATTTCATTTTTTATGTAAAATAGAGGATGTGTAACAGAGCAGAGGCTGCCTTAACCATACAAACAGATTACCCACAGATTAATTTATGTATTATGATTACGTGTATACAAATACATAGAAACTTCCTGTGAGAAGCAGTTACAGGTCCCTGATCAGTGCTCACCAGGTTCTAACGTGTGGTTTTTGGCACTGCGGAGGAATGTGGAGGTGAGGTGGCTTCTCGTGATGCTGTAGCATCAGGCTGAGCCTGCCTGAAGATGCAGGTGGGTCCCTGGTGCCTGGGGAAGAAGGGATCCCACGGGAGGAACCATCGTGTCCTCTGGGCACGCCGCTTGCTCTCCAGATGGGTGAAGAAGAGCAGGATTATCCCTCGTGCTCCTCCCATCCCACCTGGAGCCCTGGCTCCCAGCTGAGATCAGCTCTCTCAGCACAGTAACTGCATTTTGCTCTACTTCACCTGCCTAAGTGCATTTTTATTCATTTTTCACTCTCACGAAGCCGTCCGCATGGTGAGGAGTGGAGCTTAACCTTGAATCCGAGTGCCTTTCTCCCTCCCACACTCTGCCATCTCCTGAAGTATCTGGCGGTGGCACCAACAGCTAGCTCACATGCACACACGGGGATGGCAAACAAAGCGGGGGAAATGCAAGCAAACACATCCCCGACATCAACAGCGTCTTCACCTGCTCTCATCACCTCTTAAAAAACACGCTGGGCAACAGCACCCTCCTTGCTGCTGTAGTGAGCACATTTGTTTGAGTGACCCGGCTGCCAAATAATAATGACAGCAGCTCTACATCAGCTTGCGCTTGGAAAGGTGTGCAGGGACACATCGATCTCCTGCTGCCACCTGCTGGGCTTTGCATGCTCAAAGACTGAAATCATCCCGGCAGTGAACACCCTTGTCTCCATTTGTGGCCACCTTGGTTGAAGAAATACCCCAAGAAATGAGAAGTGCATCCCATCAGGTGTATATATCATCCTGCTGGACGAAGTGGTCTCATTTGGATAGCCCTCGATGCTCTGGGACACGTTTTTAAGGATCATTTTGCTACGTGCATCTAAACATCATTGTTAGTGTGGGATCAGGATGGTTTGGGCTTCCTAAATTTTCATATGTAACACAAGTGAGAGTAACAATCCCCTTCTCTAAAAGCCACTTTGATTTTTAAAGCGTATTTTTACTCATTTCCCAGTTTTTCCATTTGGCAAAGCACAAGCAGAGTGTAAAGAAGAGCCCGGGCGATTCTTTTTTGGGGTCATCAGCAAAGCTTTACCGTGTTACAGCTCGGAGTAGGTGCAGCCACAGAAAGCAGAAGGGTGCCCGTAACTCCTGCTCAGTGTAAGCACTCGCGGAGGATTAAATTGTTCAGACGAAAGCAATTATGAATTCAACGTGGAGATGCTTAAACCGTGGCCTGCGGTTGCCATGGCGATCAGCCCAAGTCAGCACTGATTAATATTTAAACAAACAAGCAGGCAAATGGCTCTTGAAAAAAACTGCAGCAAATTGCTGGTGTTTAATACAAGGAGCTGGGAGCTGTCTGGTGTCAAAGTTCATACTACTGGTTATCAGACCTCTGCTTTTTTTGTTTTTCCCCCTAATTTCCCTTAATGTTTGAATTTCCCTTCCTAGTCTTAATATTTGAGTGTATTAGGAAATGCTCTGGCACCTACTCAACCCTCCTCTAAAAACGAGGCAGCAATAAAACGCCTCAAGCTTTGCAAAACGGCACGAAACCCAACAGCTCGGGGCTTGGGTGGGATCAGAAGAAGACAGGGTTTTGAGATACCGAAAATCCCAGTACAAGCGAGCTGATTCCTCTACCGAAAAGCCAAGAGCTCTTAACCGGGCTTGTGAAATCCCAGCAGGATTCTCCCTGCCCTCTGTGGGAGACGGGAGCCTGGGTGAGATCTTTGAGCACCTGGTTGGGTGGCATCTTGAAATGTCTTGAAATATCCGGTGGTGTTCATTTCACAGTCACAGAATCACCAAGGTTGGAAGAGACCTCAAGATCATCGAGTCCAACCTCTGACCTAACACTAACAGTCCCCACTAAACCATATCCTTAAGCTCTACATCTAAACGTCTTTTAAAGACTTGCAGGGATGGTGACTCCACCACCTCCCTGGGCAGCCTGTTCCAGTGCCTAACAACCCTTTCGGTAAAGAAGTTCTTCCAAATATCCAACCTAAAACTCCTCTGGCACAACTTTAGCCCATTCCCCCTCGTCCTGTCACCAGGCACGTGGGAAAACAGGCCAACCCCCACCTCGCTACAGCCTCCTTTAATTTCAGTGGGGTCCTCATCAAAGCAGTGCTGCTCAACCATGTAAAGAAAGGTGGTTTTGCTGTCTGTCGGGTTATTTCCTAATTGGTCGTGCTAACGAAGTAAGCGTGCCTTTATAGCTTGTTCATAACTTGGGTTTTGTTTCCTTTCAGATATACTTGAAAGAAATCCTCCGAGAAATAGGCATCTACAACGTGAAGGGGACCCACAAAAACACGTGGGAGCTGAAGCCGGAATACAGACATTACCAAGTGGAAGACAAGAGCGATTAACAAAACCCCTACGAAGCAGAAGAGGACTACAGAGGAGAGTGACCGCACCGAGGGAGCTGCTGTGGGTTTCCAGACAGAACTGAGCACAGCCCAACTGTGCAAGGCTAAATTAAAATCCAACCAACCAATCCTTTGTAATTTTCCGTAGCCTCGTTTGTTTTTCAGAGGAATATTTCTTGTAAGTTTCTATAAATGTTTGTCTTTGGACAAAAAAAAATATTTATAGAATAAACTTGTATTAGATTTATCTTTATTAGAAATCTGGTGAGTTCAGATCTTGCTTTTTCTGGATAGCTTCGTGCTTTTTCTAAGCCTCGATAACTCAGGAGGAAAACGTGTCGTGGAGGAAGCTGTAACTCTGTGTTTGTTGCCTTCCTGTAGAGCCGAGTTCCTGCTCTTTGCTTCTGCTGGGATCCGCCAGGGCTTTAGCTGCAAGGCTGCAGAGATGCTCAGTGCTTTGTGTAACGTTTGGCTGTGCTCTTTTTGGGAGCAACAGCCCAGCCGTGGTGCTCAGCACAGGCCTCAGGCTTCGTGGGAACAAATAAATAAATAAAAAAAGTAAAGGAAAGGCAGTTTGTGAGGGAAAGAAGACAATCCCTTCTGGGTGGCTACTGGGGAAAAAAAAAGGCAATGTCTGTCTACTAACTACATCAAGGAACAGATCTATCTTTTTTTTTTTAATTATTAATATTATTTTATCTATGTTTCATGCTTCAGCACACCAATAAAAGCATTATTTTAATTTGTACCAAGCACCGATCTGCCTCATTGACTGAAAGCAAGTTACGATTTTGATAGTTTAGGTATGAATTTCAAATCAAACATGTATTAGTGGTGGCTTTGTCACAGGGTTTCCGTGTCTTTTGGGGAAGATTTCTTAAGGTATCCACATCCCCTTTCCCCCATTTCTGAAGTGCACATCGCAAAGTTGTGCGTTCAGCATCCTGTAGGGGTGGAGCAGGGAGGGAGGTGGCACAGGACTGCTGGGTGTGATCTCAAAGCTCGTGTGTTAGAAAACAGAATGGCAAACACCTCACTGGTATGCCTGTAAATGAAACAGGTGAGGTTTTGTAGCGTGGCTGTCACTTCCCTCTGGTCCTTCAGACGTGTGCATCATTTCTGCACATGGTAATAAAATAATTGGGCTATTGGAAAAGCCAACACACCACTACTGCACTTGGGAGGAATAAAGCTTGGGAGGGGGGTCCAGTGCCCTAGGAGCTTTGTAAAACAAGCGCCCTGCTCTCTGTGCGCGTCACACGTTGTGGTTTCACTCAGATCATGTTTTTCAGAGCTGTTCGTCTCAGTCCCTGCCTGCTGACGCTTCCTGCCGGCGCCCAGCCTTCTGTCCAGGCTTCAGGAACAGCTGAGCGTGTCCCACAGACCCGGAGTGATCCTACAGATCCTGCCAGTGCCACGAGCAGGAGGCCCCAGCCCGCCGGCTGCGGCGGAAGATATTTGAAAGCTGTGAAAGGAGCCCAGGAAGCCGGCGGTCACGGTACGGCGTGTGCTCCCCGGGCCTCCTCCAGTCCCCTGCAGGGATATTTATATCTATTTATATCTATTTATGCTAACATTTAGAGTTTGGGGCAACCTGGTTTGGAGCCAGCAGGTGAGAATGAGCCCAAACCTGCCGGGTCTGCACCATGCCAGCCAGGGGGGGAGGGGACCACGGAGCCACCCCCAGGGCACAGGCAGGCGGTGAACCCCCAGGAGCAAATTTCCAGGAGGCTTCTGAGTGTGACAGCTGAAAAAAAAGAAAAAAAGCAAGGGTACAGAGGTGGAGAGGTCAACGGGAGGTGTCTCACCCGCCCTGGGCAGTCAGCAGCCACACAGAGCCAAGGTGGCGTGGGGGAGGCTTTTCCCAAGCACATCACTGCACGCAGGCTGGAGAGATGCATTAAAAATGGAAAAAATGACCCAAAAGTGGATTTGGGATGCGAGCTATCAAAACCCAGGTGGGGAGGTGAAGCTGTGAAGAGGAACAGGCAGGGAAAGGAAAAGCCGAGGAGAGCCTCAGGCACACCCAGCACGGGATTTTCTTCCACCAGCCGTGCTGCGCCACGTGGTCAAGCACAGAAGTAGGAAATGATGAAGGAAGGAGGGAGGCTGCTGGCTTTTTTTTTTTTTTTTCTTTTTATAACCTGTCAGCTGGCTCCGGGCTGGTGAAGGCGTGTGGGGCTGAAACCTGAGCTGCCAGGGCAAAGATCGCTCCTGGAGCCTCTTCACCCGCTCCGGGGGTTTGGACTCTTCCCATGGCAGAGCCCTGCAGCTGCAGAAATGCTTTCCTGAGGAATGCAGGATACCAGGCTGATAAGTGCGTGTTTAAAACAGGAAAACAAGCCGCAGCTGCTGCCGGGCTGTCCTTCAGCTCGGTCTTTCACTATCAGGGTTGTTTGTTTTGAGTGGGGACTCGTCACAGGGAAGCAACCCCAAAGCACTGATACAAACCCTGGCCTTGCCCTGCCCCTGCCCAGTTACCAGTCACAGCACTTCCACACCACCTTAATTGGTAATTAACCAAACAAGCGCTCACTCCCCCAGCCTTTAAGGAACTCCTTTTTTCACTGGAATGATCTTTCCTTTTTCCTCACCTGGTAAACGAAGCCCTTTGCTGGTAGAGCAAGGACCGCCTCACTGATTTTTATTTTTATCCCACATTTTGAGCATAACTCCCCTTGGCTGAGGGCAGAGGAGCGTTAATCCCAGCTGCTCAGATTACCCCACACTCGCACCACAGCCAGAGCAACAGCTGCCCCCAGACCTTCCTGGGCAGGGGCTTGGGATGTAAAAGGAGTTCCTACAACTGCAGCCGGGCGTGTTTCAGATGGGCACCCCTCAGAGAGCCCCTTAGGGCGCTCTGCTCCCACCTCCAGCCCCTATCTTGCTCCTCCCAGCTCCCTCCTTATCTGACCGCTGCACGAACCTCCCTCTGCCTGCACTCGGGCTATCTGCGAGGCCGTGCCCACCCCATACAGGCCCTTTCTGTCCCCAAACTCCTGCTGGCACTGCAGCTCGAGGCTGCCTCGGGGCCTTTGTGCTCCCTTCTTCAATCCGGACTGCCACGGGGCGGGCAGGCGGAAAGCGCAAGGAGCCGGTTGCTGTCGCATCTCCACAAGAACCCGAGAAGCAACGGGTTTTTGCTCCAGGTCTGTCAAAGGATGCATTTCCGGGCAAGAACAGCGAGCTGTGAGCACCTGGGTTGATCCCAAACCCTGCCCCGCACCCAAATGAGGTCTGCTCAGCGCGCTCCTGGTTGCCCGAGAGGAGCCAGCGCCACCGCTCAGTGCTGGTGTTGGGCTCCTGCTCCCTCCTACCTTAATCCCGCAGTCACACTGACGGAGGATGGACCCAAACATCCTCACCTGACAGAGCAGCTCAGCCAGCACTTACTCGAGCAGCACATATTCCATCCTCTTTTTAATATTCCAATTAATTCTGGTGCCTCTCCCAGAGGTGGAAGTCTCTGCGCAAGCGCAAAAGATGAAGGTCCGCGTCACGATGGGTTTAAATGAGTTTTATTTTAGACAACCTACATGACAGATGTTTTGTTTTTTCTTTTTTAAAACAATGCCTCCACTCCAAATCAGGGTCAAAAATTAAGTGAATAAAGCTCAAGATGACATCAGTCCAGTTGTTAGACATCGCCGATTCCTGGTGTTGTGCTGATGAAGAAGAAACAGCAGCCAGCTATGAAGACGGGTGATCCGAAGCCAAACTGTTTGATCCGTTACTGCAACGAGAGCAGCGAGTGTTAGCTCAAGGTCACGACCGGCACAGTGAGTTCCTGCAGCTTATTCCTGTGTTCCCCAATTCAATCTGAGCTGCCACGGCCAGGCAGGCAGAAAGCACAAGGAAATTCTTTTCGCATCTCAGTGCAAACCAGAGAGCCACGGGAAAATCGCTCGTGGTCTATCAGAGGATGCTGAGCGTTTCCGTCACCCCGGGGAGCAGCTGCCACCAGCTGCTGGCCAGGCCGGACCCAATGCTCACTCCCAGCCTGTCTGCTTCACACACCGAGTTTGGGATTTCCTCTCAAGTTAATACTTGTTTAGGACAGGCTCTAAACTGTCTCTTACAGGAGCACTCCCAGAATAAGCCAAAACATACAAGCACTGGGATCTAAACACTGTTTCACTTTCACATTCAAACCCAGAATTAAAGAGAGAGCAGAGCAGAGTCGCTGCCTGAGCACAGAGTAAGGTAACACACTCAGCCAGGTGTTACCACGTTCCCAAACTCAGGGCAATGTTTAAACACAGCCCCTGCATAACAAAATAAAGGGCAGATAACGCAAAAGAGGGAACCACGATAAAGTGCAGCACTCCGGAGTTAACCCACAGCAGAGGGATCCAAAATAAAAGTGCTCCATTTCAGGGGCATTGTTTCCAGACTGACAGTCTGAGGACAGGGCCAGCTGCACACAGCTCCCCGCGGCGATTCCTCCCGCATTTCTCGGCAGTTACGTCAGGGTGAGTCACGGCGTGAAGCCATGCCCCCCGTGAAGCCATGCCCCTTCGGCGTGATTCAGTGGCACACAAGGGAAGCCTCGGCCACTTTACGTAACACAGAGCAGCCACCAGACCGTACTTGGGGGAACTTCATGTTTTTAAAGCTACCCTTCAGCTTTAGCAGAGATACTGAAGAGTCAGTGACAGATTTGGGCACATTGACCCGATTTCAAGTCAGCACTTACACATTTCTCGATTTCTAAGCCGTCCTTAAAGAAGATCATATAGGGGGTGACGCCGTCCTCGCGGAAATCCAGCAGGGCCACCATGCCGTCTGGATTCATGTTCTCTCCTACGAAGAACTTCAGAGAAAGGCGTTACTGAGACACTCTGTGAGCTATCACCAGCAGACACTGCCCAATACACAAAAAACATCTACAAGCCAAGTTTAAAAGCCTCCCCGACCAGCTGCAGGGGGTTTGCTCTCTGAGAGCTGTCCATTTTAGTACCACACTGCCATGAACATTAAAGTAGGAAACAGGGGCCAGAGTGATTCACCTCCCACACCTTTAACCCCACAGAACTTGGGGTTATCACCACAAGCACTGCAAAAGTTGAAGGAAGATCCCCAAGTCCTCCAACTATTTCTCCTCCCTGATTCCCAGGACCCCAAACACCCTCAGAGAGAGCCCAGGTGAGACATCCCTACAACAGGGGGCCTCAGAACTCAACAAGCCATTGAGCAGATAAACCAATCTCAGCTTGTATGACCAAAGCACTGCTGTAAGGAAACACAGGCTGTGTTACCTGGTAGTTTTTGAAGTTGGCGAGGATGTGTTTGATTTGTTCTGCAGCCCCTGTCATGAAAGGCTTTACTCTCTCTGGCTTGTGTTCCTCAAGTCTGGCTTTGATTCTGGAAAGGAGAAAAGGAAACTTTGAAAACACATTTTAGCCTATTGACTTCAGCATCCCACCACAGCAGGAAGTTACCAGCAGTCACTGGTTTTGTTGTGTTTCCCCCCACTCCTCCAGAAAACCAACCCACAAAATTTTAACTTCATTTTGCTAGGGAATTAGAAGAACAGTGCCTGCCACTCACATCAAGCTCGCTTTACTTGTAGCTTTGTGCTAGACAAAAAAAAAGAGAAGTCATTTCCAGAGCAGCAAGAGTGTTATCCATCAATACCACAGAAAAAGCACTTTCACCTGTAATGCCAGCCCACTGAACTCTGAGCAATAGGAACTATGATTTCAACTAGGAAACAGCTCCTTTTTACACACAGCTTTGGGCATTTAAGTTCAGTGTCCAGCTCAGGAAGCTCCCCTTTGCCACCCCACCCCCTCCACACAAATGTTTGGCACAGAGGAACCAAAGAAAACAACAGGGTTACAAATAATACCCAGAGCACATGATCTGCTCTTCTACCTTGGCCAAGATAAGCTTTGATAGTCCAGTATTGATTCTTTGGAGCTTCAGTTTTGCCAGGTATTAAGACATCACTGAATTTCACAGCCAGTTTGGCACCTGCACCAGAGCTAGCATCCACTAAAAGTAAAGCTCAATGCTATTTTTGAGGTCTGTGCCCTAGGAACCTGGCAGTCCCACCCAGAGAAAACTCCCAACCCCAAACTTACGCTTTCATGTAGTCCTTGATGTACTTCTTGTAGGACTCCTTTGTGAAGCTGGTTTCCTGCAGGTGGTGGTTTATCACTATGTCCACACCAGTTATGACCGTGGCTTCTGTCCCCTCTCCCTCAGGACCTTCGGCAGAGGCATTGCCACCAATTAGAGAGTCATCAATTTGACCCTCTGTCCTGGTGACCATCTAGATTTAGAGACATCAAAGAACTTCAAGGCTCTGCGGAAAAGCCCGGCCCTCCTGCCCTTCTCACACACCTACAGACAGCAGGGCAGGGCTGCAGAGCCACA